GATGTTTAGAAGAAGGAAAGTTAAGCCTATTGTTTTCTCAGCCCAAAAGGCTGCTGGAAATGTATAAAAACCTTGGGACACGATCCTTCTGCATCTCAAATCTGCTTTGGGTTTCAAGAGGGGGTAACCTTAAGCCACAAGGATTAAGATCCCCAGTCACTGACTGGAGTCACCCTGAATATGGACATTGGACTATAACCTATGAACTATTTCTAAAAGGACTTTTGTCAACTACAAGCTCACCTCTGCTATGTATCTGAACCTCAAGAATTAAATTCAAGTCTGTATGTATATTGATCTTTTAACCAACTCTTTCTCTCTTTTCTTTTTTAATAAATTTTAGCTTAGTTAATAAGAATTGGCTATAAGCATGTATTTTGGGTAAGATCTAAGTTATAATTAAACCTGGGTATGTGGCTGACCCTTTGCGATTGAAAGAACCTTTTCTTTTATATAAGATAAGATTTTCAGAAATCATCATCATATCTGACGTGTGTGTCTGGACGCAGGCCTGAGGCTGGGTACTTTAAGGGAACTGCGTTGTTTGGGCTTCTGAGTAACCAGTGAGGTACTATAGAAGCTGTTCTGTGCTGGTTTGGTAAATCTAAGTGTTGAAATAACCACCAGCTTCTGGGGTTTGTCTGCCCTGTTTTGTTTGCAGTTCACCCTAATTGAGTAACCCAGCTGGCTCCCACGGGCAGCACCGTCACACCCTTCTTACCTGGTGTTTTATCTTACCTCACCAATGAGCCTCTTGTTTCCAGTGTCACCACTTGCAGAGTAAGGTACTTCTCAGTGTGAGTCAGAGTGGCAGAATCTGGCCCTGAACCAGTGGGGAGCATAAGACCCTGAATTAGAAGCTCCAGTTTTGGTCCACAGCAAGCAAGAAAAGATTCCTGAGCAATTCTAAGCTCTCAGCTCTTGAGCCAAACACACCTCATGCCACTTGCTATTACAGCTGTCTGCAGAGAAATATTGTGGTAGAAATTCTTTCACATCTCCACAGTAGGGAGGTTAGCCAAGCTGAACAAAACCAAGAGAAGTTTCTTTTTAGTATTTTCAGTCTAGAAACACAGAAAGAGATGGGAAGGACAGAGGCTCACCATTCACTGCTTCCCCTGTCATCCTAGGAAATTATTGTGGATCAACTCAGGCTCCGGCAAATCACTTAAGCAGATGCTTAGCCTTGTGCCGGGACTGCATAAGTGCATTGCTAAACTGGGGTCTGAGTGCTTCCTAGGAGGATGAAAACCACTGTATCCTTCCCTGCTGATGCACACGCCTTTGGGGGACAGCAGTGAGGAGAGAAACCATTCTCAGACTAGATTTGGACATTGATTTAATCCTGTGCAAGTGTGTATGAACTTCAACTGCCAACTTTGGTTCCTTGAGCCTTTCTAACTGTAACTTTAGCGCCCTTGTGGCCAAGATGGAGTCTGCTCTGCAGGCAGTTCTGGCCAAGAGAAGGCGTGCGCAGGACTGCAGCAGGAGAAATCCCTTCCACCCCAGGTGCACCTGTTCCAACCCCCCCCGAGTGAACACACCCACCCACAGGAAAAGTACCATGGATATAACAAGGAAAATATTTATTTACAGAGGGATGAGAGGAGAAAAACAACAAGGGGAAATAGAGGGGGAGCAGTAAAACAGGGTTGCATCCAAACCAAGGCCCCACAAGCCCAGTGGTAGCACAGGGCAGACACTGAGCAATGTGTCTGCACACAGAGTTCAGGAGCCCTGAGCAAAGTTCCAGTCCAGTGGTGAGTCTTGGGTGCTCCTGGTCGTCTTCGGCACCAGTGAACTTTCCCCCAACAAACTCCTCCGGTGCCCTCTTCTGCTGCTCTCTGCAAAGCCACACAGAGCGACCACCTCCTCACTTAACTAGCTACAGCCTCCCTCCTTGTTCCCAATGCAGAGTCACAAGCCCCAGTACTCACAGCCCCATGCAGCTCTGGGCAGCCGTGATACTGGGTCCAGCTCCGTCCTGTTCTTCTCGGGCAATTCCTCCCTGGTACAATGCTCCTCCTGGCTCCTGTCCTGGGGTGTCCCCGATCGGCCCTGTCCTTCTCAGGCCTCCGGCAGGTTCTCCCTGCTTCACTTTTCCAGGGCCTCAACTGCCTCTTTCTCTCCCTGGAGCTCCAGTGTCACCCCCTGGAGTTTCCCTCCTTTTTTCTTACTCTCCCCCTTCACCCTGGGAAAAAGATTTAAAGGGGCCATGCTCTCTAAACCCCAAAGGGGTTACATAACCCTTGAGCCTTCAGGCACATATCTTGTTTCCCAGCTGATGGTAATCTAACCTTTTCCTCTGCATCTCAGAGTTTCATGCAAAATAAATGGTGTCAAAATGAATACCTCCTGTTTGAGCTGGTTTGGTGCTGCCCACATTTAGGTGGGCCTCTCAGGACATTTGCCAGGTGCATCCAAGTAGATTGTGCAGGTGTCACAAATCCA